ATTTCTAAAGTGAGTAAAATATATGTTAGATGGGTATGTTTCAATTCAACTCAACAAAATTTTTCTAAGGGATCTTCTGTGTAGCGCATTGTGCTGGCGCCGAGGATATAAAGGTAGATAAGACACTGGTGTCTTTCTCAAGAAATTTATAATCCAGTGGGGTAGATGGTGAGATGAGAGCCCAAACAATCAAAATACAAAGGAAAGTTAATTCATTGTGAAAGAGAGGCAAAGAAATGTTTAAGTACATCTCATGGTGTTTAATTTTTTTTTCAAAAAAGTGACTCCAATATGATTTATATTTTTTATCACAACTATACAATCCATGTTTAGACTATATTTGTGGTTTTACATATTAACATATGTGTTGAAAATGTAAAATGTAAAATTTACATATTTTTCAGACACTCATCTTCTTTGATTTGTGGGAAAATGTGATCTCTTTTTCTAAAATCTTAGAATATAACCATCTCTTATGCCACTTTATCTTTTTAAAAAATATTGACCTCTTTATTTTACATTGCTTAAACTTCCCCCTGTATCTCTTCCTCTGTCCTTTCCAGAGGGCCATCCTTTGTTACAAAAAAAAAAATTAAAGAAAGCAAAGAGAAAGAAAAAAGTCAGTAAAACCAATGAGTACATTGAAAAATATCTGAAAATATGTGCAATGTTACATACCCATGGACCCTTCAGCTCTGCGAAGAAGTTGAATCAAGGTGTTTTCTCATATATCTTTTGTTGTACCACATTACGAATCTTTTAATGAGAAATCCATGTTGTTGCTTACTGTGCTTGGTAATACGTAAATGTCTTTTTTTTTAAAATTTTTTTATTTTTTTATTTTTTAATTTTTTTTCCATATGCTTTTGAGTTGAAAATTTTTTCTCCCTTTTTCTCCCCCCCCCAAGACGGCGCACAATCTGACATAGGCTTTACATTTACATACCCATTAAACATATTTTCACATTAGTGAAGTTGTAAGTAAAAATTAAAACCAATAGGAGGAACCATCAGAAAGATGAAACAAAACTCAACTGAAGGTAAAAATAAGAGAGCGATTCAACTTCCATAGTTCTTTCTTTGGATGTGGACAGCATTTTCCATCCCGAGGCCTCTGGAGATGTCTTAGATCCTCCTAATGCTGAGAAGGGTTCAGTTTAACATTCTCAGTCATTGCATAACGTGGCTGCTATTGTATACAAAGTCCTCTTGGTTCTGCTCACTTCACTCAGCATCAGACCATATAAGTCTTTCCAGGTTTTTCTGAAGTCAGCCTGTTCATCATTTCTTATAGCACAATAGTGTTAGAGTTAGAAGGGCTTATGTTTCCACAGGTAGAATAATGCAGAGATTTAAAGAACAACAGCTCCAGGAAGTAGTACACTGTAGGCGGGCTTGGGCTTAGCCAGTAAAAAGTAAGTGGATTGCTCCAAAAAGACCCCAAAATCAAGATAAGGGTCGAGCCAGCTCAGACCAGTTAGGGTCAACCTGAGAACACCTGAAAAATGTTAGTGTGCCTGCTTAATGAGCTTCATTACTATTATCTGACACAACTCGCATAAAATTAGAGCCTCATTAACAAGTCATGGGACGTATGACCAAGGGAGAGGGAACATACTTGAGCATATCAAAGGGAAACATGTAAGGAAAGGTGTAACCTGGGAAGGGATGGACCAATCCCGGCCTGAGAGGTTTCGCGTCGAATTCAACTGCATAAAAAGCACACTTGCCCTTGCACTCAGGGCCCACCCCTCCTGAAGAGGGGTGGAGCCCGCTTCTGGCCAGAAATGTCTAAATCCTCTGGATTTTCTTTATAATAAATTTTCTTGATACTAAATTTTTGGTGTCAAGTCTATTTCTAACAATAGTATTCTATTACATTCATGTACCACAAGTTGCTCAGCCATTCCCCAGTTGATGGGCATCCTCTCAATTTCCAATTCTTTGCCACCACAAAAAGTGCTGCTATGAATATTTTTGTACATGTGGGTCCTTTTCCCATTTGTTTGATCTCTTTGGGATATAGCCCTAGAAGTGCTATTGCTGGATCAAAGGGTATGCACATTTTTGTAGCCCTTTGGGCATAGTTCCAAATTGTTCTCCAAAATGGTCAGATCATTTCACAACTCCACCAACAATGTATTAGCGTTCCAATTTTCCCACATCTTCTCCCAGGGGGAGAATTCTTAAACAGTAATGATTATAAAAGGCAAAAATTGACCATTTCAATATATAAAATTTAAGAGAATTTTTGAGAACAAAATTAATGAAGATAAATTAAAAACTACTGTGTGGGATGTGACTCAAATTTAAAAAAAAAACTGAGAGGAAATCTCAAGGTAGAAACAGAAAGTTAAAAGTTACTGTTATTGCAAATGTGGAGATTTGGGTGTCTCCTCACCAGTATGATCTGATGAGAGGAGACAGACACAGAAACAAAGAACCAGATTTAAATAGCGCTAATGGGTAAAGCCCCCTCCCACCAGCTGTCTGTTACTCAGCTCACAATCTCAAATACAAAACTCTACCATAGAACAAAGGAAATAGTATACATCTCTATATTTCTTAGTTTGCTGAGATAATGTCAAAGAAGCAATTAAAAATGTGCAGTCAAGCTAGACGTTCTGCTGTGGAGCCAAGTCACTGCGACAGAAATATAGCTTATAACAAAGTGCAGGGGGGAGGTTTCAGACTTTAACTACTGATATGGCACTAGAAAAAAAAGAACTTACAGAAATCTATACTTAACCCCATCCTACCTCCTGAACTTATTACCAGATTTAGGATAGTCTTATCCCAAACTTTAGTTACATTGAGAAGTCTTCATAGGGACATTCCACTCACTACTGATCGGAGGGAAAATCTATGCAGTGATTATTTATGATAAAGGTCTGACATACAAAATATATTAAGAGTTGATATAGATACAGAACACTCACTAGCTGTGTGGCTCTGGGCAAGTCACTTAACCCCAACTGTCCCATCAAAAAAAAAAAGAATTGATATAAATATGTAAAATTCAATTCAATAAACATTTACTAAGAAACCACCAGGTGCCAGGCAATGTGCTAAGTGCTGGGGATACAAAAAGAGGCAAAAGATAGTCCCTGCCCTCAAGAAGTTCACAAACAACAAACACGCAAACAAAGATAAAATGAGGGAAACCATGAAACAGAAGAGAATAGTAATACAATAGGTAAAGAATGAATATTAAGATGAACAACAGAAGGTAGGCTATTCTTCACATAAGGGAGAACTTGAATATAAAATTAGCAATAAGAAACATAATGGGAACAATGAAAAAATTCAAAGTTGTTTGGTCCTCCATCTTCCCTAAGGGTGGCAGTGTATGGAAGCCAGCTCAACCTGGCTCTCTGAGGATTGTCAGATTGTCAACAGGGGCATTTACAACTCAACGGTCAGCAAAGGTGACAAATCAGAGCTTGATTTATTGTTTTGTTGATTTAGATGCAAAGGAAATGTTAATAATGTAAATTAAACTTAAAAGTATGTCTACAAAGATTCTTTTTTTCAGAGAGCCAGATGTTTAAATATTTACCTGAGGGTAAGCCACCTGGGCAAACTGATGCTGGCCAAAGAACAAACTCAAAGAGACAGTCAGTAGAAGGAGGACAGAATTGCTTTGTCAGCTTGTGTCATAAAAACTTAGGATCCTTTAAGACATCTATAAATCAATACATTTCTTCTTTAACTCTCTATGGTGCATAAATAGTAAATAGCCTTGAAAACATGCAAGTTTTTAAAGAAGAAGCACATGTGCCACCTAGTGGCCAAACTGAGCAACTGTGCTTATTACACAAAATATCTGAAGAATTCAAAAGCATCCCTCTCTTTGTTCTCTGCCTTCACTGTCCTTAGTGTCAAACAAGAAAATTGAACAAGATTATATTTTCTGAGTCTATGGTGCTTTAGTAAAGTGATGAACAATCTATCACAGCAACTAAATGATAAGGTGATAGGGAACTGAGACAAGAATGAGAAAATTATCTAATTCTATAGAATATAATTCTATAATTCAGGAATGATAAAAGTAATAGGGAAGAGGAATAAAATGTATAAAATCATGATAGGAATAGACAAAAGGTAAGTGCTTTCTCGTTCATCATTTCCTAGAAACAAAGAAAGGTCTTATCTCTTCCCCACTCTTAATCCATCCTCACTATTCCAACAAAGTGACTTTCCTACATCATTCATGTCTGACCATGTCACTGAACTATAAGTTCCAGTGACTCCCTTTAATCTCCAAGATCAAATATAAAATGCTCTGTTTGGCATTTGAAAGTCCTTCACAACCTGGCCTCTTCTTATCTTTCCAGTCTTCTTATTCCCTAACCTTTCCCCACCCGCATACCCACTGATATTTCTGACATTCTCTCTGATATTACTTGCTATATCATCTCCATTAGAATGTGAATTCTTTAAGAATAAGGACCAGGTTTTTGCCTTTCTGTGTATCCTCAGCAGTCAGCATAGAGCCTGCACATAGCAGGTACTTAATAAATGCTTGATGACTTACTTAGAGGCATCCTTAGAAGTTTGAAGATGGTAGATCATAGATTGAGAACTAGCAGAGACTTTAGCCAGTCATTTAATCCAGCTGCCTCCTTTTACAGAGAAGGAAACTGAGTCCTAAAGAGGTTAAATATCTTGTTGAAGGACAGATAATTTAGGAAAAGAAAATATCTTATTTACATTGTGGAAAGTAAGTCTACCCTAAGATCACTAAATTCCCATTCATCTCCAAAATTCTCTATTCAATCATAAAAGCTAGAAATTGGTTCACAAGTACTATAGGGGGCCCTGTGATCGTAAGACCAAGAAGCTGATAATGGTTCCTTGAATGTATAATGAATGAGCAGAGGTTATAAAAATTGTGCTCACAACTCCTAGATCCCTCCCACAGTCTTTCTGTATATAAGGTTCATCTTGTGTCCATTAAGATGCTTACATTCTTATAATCTAGTCACTGCTCACTAATGTCCATATTTCTTAAGAGTCTGCCCAATATGACAGATGTTCTAATAAACCTTATCTTTGGCTGAAAAAAAAAAGTGCTCACAGCAAGAACAGGTCAGGAAAGGATGCAAGGTAGTGGTAGAGGAGAGGAGGGGTGTTGATTCCCAAGAAAGAGTCTACAGTCAACTCTCTCAGTGGCAAAGTTTCCTCATTTACAACCCTGCTTCTGTACCTTCATTATAAGATTAGGCATGGTGGTCTAGACAACCATGACAGTTTCTCCTTAAGGAAGGTTGTAGCTTATAGAATCTATACATGGAAACCATTGTTATAAGATTAGGACTGATAGTTTTAAAGCCATCATGACAGTTTCCCCTTAAGGGAGGCTGCTCATGGAAAAATACTGACAATAACATTTTTTGAAGGTTGGTTCAGCTGTGTCCTCCAAATAATATTTTCTCTACCACCAGACTGTTTTTCTCCTTGACATGTAGGGCCTGAGAAGCAGACCTGCAAGTTCATCACCAGCTAGAGAAAACTGGGCCTCGGGTGAACTTTCCAACAAGTGCTGGGGTTGGGGATCCCTGGTTTAGGGTTCCAGGATCAATGGGCTCTGAGTGCAGATCTCTTGTCTGAATTTCACTAACGTCCCAATGGTATGACTTAGAGAGGCAAGAAAGCTGGCTGGGAGCCAGTGTACCATGGTCCTGGTTCATGATAAGAAGTGAGAACACTTTCTATCTCTCAGATTCAGTAATGCAATGGCACTTAGCATATATGTACCTCCTACAAAAAAAAGCGAACAAAGTTTGGAATTCAATGTTCAGTACAAAGAAGGAATCACCTAGAATGGCAAAATGCAGAGTTGGCAAAGGGACTTCAGAGGCCCTCAGTACAACTCACAAATAAAAATGAACCCCTGCACAATATACCTGAGTTATTATTTGAAGACCATCACTGATGGGGAATCCATTCCCTCCCACTTTCCATTTGGCAATAAATCACTGTTAGGGAATTTTTCCCCCTTACATCAAGCTCAAATTTGCCACTGTGGGAAAACTTTATTACATGGTTTGAACCTAGCCCTGGGTGGCTGAGAAATGAGAACTGCCATTTGGAGACCAGATTTGTTGAAAGTTTAATTCAGGGTCTAGATTATGCTAAGCAGAAACCCAGTCAGCTCTGAAGACCGATGCATGAAATGTGAGGCGTTTTCTCTCATCTCAAGTAACTCACATAGCTTATCTGGGATGGTCAATCACCTGCTGTTTCCTTTGTTTGAATCCTATATGATGTGTAACTTACAGACACTAAAAGCGAGTGAGCCACTCCTTTACAGCTCTCCCCCTCTGCCTGATGATTTAATAAATGTCTAAATTGCTTTAGTTTGAGGTTTTATTCTCCTTACCACTTTGCAACTGCCCCTCCTCACCAATACCATTGTTTAGAACCATTACATGTTTTCAAGATCTACTTTGCTCGAGGCTTCCAAAGAGCTAGGCATATAATAGGTACTTAATATGTGATTAATTGTGGGAAATTACATAAAGCTAAAAAAGAGCATAAATAAATATTAAAGAGTACACTTTCTGTAACTATCTTGACAAGTTAAATGTAATGCATCTCTGCTGCAACACCTTTTTAAAAAAATGACTATAAACGGGTTTTATTTTGGTTTCTCAAGAGTGCCTGAAGATGAGTCAGTGGGTCATATAATCCTGAGATTATATTTACATGAATAAAAAGAAACAAGAGCATAATTATTGATGCACTCCTTTCTGAGCTTACTGATATAGTAAAAGGCTGCCGGAACAGAAGATCCTTCTTCCATCCCTTCTGCAGGTGGTTTGCAACCCTTGTACAAAGATACAGACATAGATATAGCCTGCAAACACACCAGGCAAACCCTCAATTGATAAGTACTTTCCCTAGAAAAGACAAAAACAATTAGACATTCCAGCTTTAGGGCTTTAGACTACATCTAGTTCCTAAAACGAAAGAAAAGTCACCACTAGTTAGCAGTAGAATGTGGTGCCATCATTCCCTAGGACACTGGATAAGCAATGAAGACTGAAGGAGACCATACTTCACATTTGCATTGCTTATTCCTTAGTTTTCTATTCTCTGGTTTCATATGATAAAACACCACTTAGTATTCAAAGGCCCTATTTCTATACCTTCAATATGGCACTTCCCCAAGGACCAAGACCTCATCCCACAGCAACCACACCAACATACACACATACAAGACACTGAAGAAAACTACACACAGATGACGTGGAGGTCCTATCTCTGAACATGGATCGTGGTAGCTCTTTTTTTTTCCCTTCATCCGTAGGAAAGAAAAATACTCTTCCTCAGAGTATGCTCGGATACGATAGAGTACTGCTCTTCGGGGGCCACTCTGCTGTTCCAGTCATAGATTTTGTTGTTGAGATCGATGTGGAGATTCAAAAGCGAGCATCTTCTGAAGAAGGGGGAAGAGACAAAAATGAATGCCAAGAAAGGTAGATGCTCAAGTCAGTGCTAAGCCACTGAGGCAGCCTGCGGCAACGTGTTGAGGTTCACAGGATCGCAGGGCCAGGAGATGAGAGACTTGCACATTCTTATGCCCATGTTAAAGATTCATCCCTCTGGCTTTCAGTTTCCTCATCTATAAAAGAAGAATATATAGACCCTCTGTCTACCTCACATTGTGAAGATGAGATAAAAGATGTAAAAACACTTTTAAGAAGCAAAAAAAACCAAACCCTATTATGAAAATGCATAGGAATATAGGCAGTTTCTGAATTAGGAACTTCAGACTAATGAATGGTTTTAATATATAAACTAGTAGTGGGATAGAATGATAGAGTTGATAGTATCTCAATTTAATATAATTTTAAGCAGTCATATTTACTGACTGGTGGCTAAAGCATCCCACTGATTTTATCTGTTTTGTTTCATTATATGTTTTATATATATATATATATATATATATATATGATATGTGTGTGTATATATATAAGTTCATAATATTTTATTTATTAATTTTGGTGAGGCAATCAGGGTTAAGTGACTTGCCCAAGGTCACACAGCTCATAAGTGTCACATGTCTGAGGCCGGATTTGAACTCAGGTCCTCCCGACTCCAAGGCCGGAGCTTTATCCACTACGCTGCCTAGCTGCCCCCATAATATTTTTAAAGGTAACAACATTTACTGATGGGGGGGAATAGAACTTTCTACCATTCCACTGAGAACCTTGTTTCCTGGGTATTCATTCATTCAATAGACAGTAAGTGCCCACCATAAGCATACCTAGAATGTGGACCATGTGGGCCTGAGGAAGACACAATGGTAATGCTCACCTCAGGCTGTGTCAGAACTCTTGGCCCACATTCTATGCACATCTTTGGTGCCTACTGTATGCAAACACTGGGGGAGATTCAAAGAACAAATTAGGATTAAATATGGTACCATGGAGTGAGATTTATAGACAAATAAAGGAATGTCACAAACCAGATAACTCTGCTACATAGTCCGTTGTGTCAATGAGAGAAGTGCAAGGAAAGGGTATATGTCTATCTGGCAGGAATGTTGTAGAGAAAATTCTGGTTCTGGGCTAGGTGGGACTGGAAGACCTCTATCGTCCCTTCTAATTTTCTAATTCTAACACTCAATGATTATACCAATAGAGCTGGGGGAGGGAGGAGAAGAAAGAGAGAAGTGGGGCAGGTGTGCTCAACAGAACTTTCATCTACCTCATATTCCCTAGTTCTCTTCAAGGCTTAACTCAAGCACTACCTCCTATAAGAAGCCTTTCCTGATTTCTCTACCTTGCCCTCCAGTGTTCCATATATACTATATATTTACTTATCTATATATATTTTGTTTCATTCCAGTAGAATGTAAGCCCCTTGAGGGCAGAGACTAATTCTATTTTTGTCTTTGTATTTTTAGTTCTAGGTGCCCAATAAATGCCTTTGAGTTGAATTAAAAAAAAAAAAGAATATATCCAGAGGCCTCTTTCCATAGACATAACAACCATTCAGATGAAAATAAAATTGTACTATTACTACCATTTTTCATATACATTATGAGTTAAATAGGCCTTTGGGAAATGCCCTGGGAATCTTATGACCCATGTATTATAATATTGTTTCTGTTGTAAAATGTGTTCTGAATTCCCAATAACCAATCCAGAAAGAAAACTATTGGAACATAACCGAGCCAGAAATTAGGAGTTGCTGTTGTGGTTAGAGTATAAAGAAAGCTAAACCTTTAAAAATGAATGTTGACATGCAACTGGGGGAAAACAAAATACTAAAAAAAAAGAAAGAAAGAGAGCTAAATCCCTTTTCTTCCTGAATAGCCCCACCACACCACTGATGACCCACAAGGAGACCTGTTAAGGGATGTCAGTGACACTCACCTCTCCTTAGGCTGATGCAGGAGCTGTGAGAGGCAACGCAGGTAGAAGGATGGTGAACTGGGAGACTTCTCCAGCACAGAAACATTCACCTTGCACAAACTCCAAAAGATGTCGGCTTCTTGATGAATAGTAGAGTTCCTGGGTCTCCATCCATTATAAGACACTTTGCAACCCCCACCATCCACTTCTAAGAGACTGTTTGGCTCCTTGTGGTCCTCTGGTACCACATAGTTATGGATGAAAAAGAGTTTTGGTTTCCCTAAAAGCAAAGGGCAAGCATCCCCAGTGAAAAACTTCCTGATCTGATGCAGAGGGAATCCTGAGCAAGGCTGGTCTATCCCAAAAATGTTCTCAGAGTCACCTCGGCTGATCAGAATACATACAAAGATGTCATAATCTTGGTGCTTGGAAAGGCAGGAAACTTGATAAAGAGTCTGGTGGATTTCTTCTGTGCTCAGGTATTTGGAATACTGAACATCAAAACCCAGGGAAATAAATGTGTCTTTAAGTGGATCTGGGGGGAAAAAAAGTAGAAAACATTAATTTGAGATTTCAATAGAAAAAACTGAAAGGAAGCCTTCATATATATTTTTATTTTATTTTTTTCTGGTGAGGGAATTGGGGGTTAAGTAACTTGCCCAGAGTCACACAGCTAGTAAGTGTTATGTGTCTGAGGCCAGATTTGAACTCAGGTCCTCCTGACTCCAGGGCTGGTGCTCTATCCACTACACCCCTAGCTGCCCTCGCCTTCGTACTTTCTAATGGCAAAACTGTATTATTTTGATTTTTAGAAAAGGGATGTCAACAGCAGTCTTTGTGCAATGAGGGGCCGTGAGGGACTGGGCCAGCAAGAAGAAAGGAACGCCCACAGCTGATCACGTCGGTCTATGATCCTTCTTTACGGGCCTTCTTTTTTCTACCATTTACTACTTCCAGCCTCAAGAGCTGGTCAGGCATTGGTGCTATTCAACTTGACCACTAGAGGGAGACTGAGTCCTTCTGTCAATGCTAACTGATCAAGACGTGACCTGTTATTTCAGAAATCAACCAACCAACCCCATTCCAGTTGTCTCAGTTCTGTCTGGGCTGAGTGCCAAACTTTTAAGCCACAGTTGGTGCTGCTTTTAGATCTAATAGGACCCTTAATTCTTCCCCGGACCCACTTCCTAGCCTTATGTTCTATTCCCTCTCATCCTCCATCAAAGATCATCTTCCCTGACTCCTAGCTGTATTTGTAACCTGTTCCCAGCCATGCACCAGACACCTGAACGAAGGAAGCATGACTCCCAAAGATTATCTATATCCTTTTGACCTCAGGCCATCTTGCACTAATCCTGCAGCTACCTTCCAAGCCCAGTCTCCTGTTTCTTTCTCCTTTTTCCTTTCCCTTTCTTCTGGGACCTATTACGTGAACTGAAATACATCTACCACTTGCTGATTGTTATGGGTGGCTCTGCCATTTGGTAAAGTGAAGTTCAAGGCTGGACTTTCAACTTGGTTTCTTTAGTATCCACATGGCCTTTATGCCATGCACACCTGTCCTTTGGGGCCTTGCCCTGCATTATTATCCATTCCTTCTGATAGCAGAAGCACACTTCCAGTTTCAATATCTTTCAAAGCCCGTGTTACCATTTGGGTTGTCCACTAAGTTCTGTTTTCTCTTTAGAAAATGCCACTGGATCTGAGTTCCTTCTAAGAAGGAAGAAAAAAAAGTATCTATTAAATCTTATATATTATTATAAGAGGCAGCTGGGTGGCACAACGGATAGTGTGCTGAGCCTGGGGTAGAGAAGTCCTAAGTTCTATATTACTGTTATTATTAAATATAATTATTATAGAATAGCTAACATTTATATAGTGTTTACTATGTGCCAGGCACGGTACTTAGTGCTTTACAAATATTATCTCATCTGATCCTTGCAACAATCACAAAAAGTAAGGGCTACAATTATTTTATTTTATAGTTGAGGAAACTGAGGCAAACAGGGTTAAGTGACTTGCCCAGGGTCACGCAACTAGGAAGTGTCTGAGGCTGGAATCTGAACTCAAATCTTCCTGACTCCAGACCTAGAACTCTATCTACCAACTTATATAAATATATTATAACATATTTCAAATACACACAAAGACATATGTATGCATTCAGGGTTAACCCCGCATACCCTTTAAATTGTCACTTCTATTCACTTTCCTGTATTCACTTTGATGATTATTCATTAACATAACCTGACCCTGCAAGGAAAGTAATCTAGAATTTTAGCATTCCAAATGTTTTACAATTCCAAAATAATAACAATAACAAAAACCCCAAGAGTAACAACTCACATTTATTTAACCCTTTACAATTCAAAAAGAGTCTTTATCATGATATAGTAAGGTAGAAGGTACAAGCCTCATTGGCCCCATTTTATAGATAAGTAAACTAAGGGTCAGATGATAAATGTTAAACTTGCTCACCATCACGTTAGTAAGTGTTGGAGTAAGATTCAACCTCCCACCTCCTGACTCCAGGTATTTGATTAGGGGAGTTATGTCCTTGGGCTTTAGCCACAGTAAGCCACACACCCTGACAGGGTGTGAAGGAAGAATAGACTGGATAAAGAAGAGACTAAAGAAAGGGAGAGAAGTTAGGAGACTATTGCAGGGAAGGAGTAATGAAAGCCTGAGAGAAGCAGAATAGTGGCAGAGGAGGCAATGGCTGAGAAGCCACTAGATGGTTCAATGCAGTGAGTGCCAGTCCTGGGGTCAGAAAGACTATTAACTAGTTGTGTGACCCTGGGAAAGTCACTGAGTCACACAGGTTCCACATTGTGAGGATCAAATGAAATAATATATGCCAAATGCTCTGCCACCAACGACCTATATTACATTAAAGCCCTACATTCAGTTCAGTCATTTTTCTGTCATGTCTGATTCTTCTCTATTTGGGGTTTTCTTGGCAAAGACACTGGAGTGGCTTGCCATTTCCTTCTCCAGCTCATTTTACAGATGAAGAAACTGAGGCAGAGAGGGTTAAGTGACTTGTCCAAGGTCATACAGCTAGTAAGTGTCTGAGGCCAGATTTGAACTTAAGAAGGTGAGTCCTTCTGACTCCAGCCCCAGTCCTCTATCTACTCTCCCCTACAGGTATCCTAAAGCAATATATAAATATGAACAATTATTAGATACTTGTGGAAGTAGCAGTTATCAGGAAAAGGTTAAGTGATCTGCCTAAGATAGTCAAATAGTGAGGGATATAGCTAGGACTCAAAGTCAGCTTATCTGATTCCAAATCTAGAACTCTTTCCACTGTACCTCACTGCCCCCTAGATACCATTTAGGCTTCAAACTTGGGAAGGGAAGGGAAATGAAGATGTGGGTATTGGGGCAAGATGCCAAGTTCAACTTCGGACCAACTGTTAACAGACCCAATTTTCACCAAAGGAAGGTCATTCCCCCATACGGGCAATCTCAATCTAATTTAGACATCACTGAAAAAACAGGATCAGAGGAACACAAGAGTTGAGGACAACAGATATTTGGATACCACTAGTTCACCTATTCCTGCTAATAAAGGTCATCTTCACTGTTGATTGGCATCCAGCAGAAAGTTTCATCAGGGAAACATTTGAAAATGTTTATATTGGCTGAAATGAGCCAGAAGCCACTGGTTTATTTATTCGGGGTTGGGGGGTGGTTCTATTTAGAACTAACAGAAAAGAAGGCTCAAGAATAAACCAAACATTCACAGCTCATTGAAAGAGATACTTTCAACCTTTTCCACATCCAAACTTTCTACTAGATGCTAATAAATAGTAAAACTGACCCATTTGAGTGAGTCTCTCTTCCCCTAGCTTATGTCCAGAAACTAGGAAGTGCTAAAAGAGAGGCAGCAGAAGGTGTCAGCCCTGAAGAATATACCCAGCTAGACCACAATCTGGAAAACCAATCCCTGGATTAAGTGAGAAATGAATTTACATATTTGAAGTCAACAGAATCAGGATAGCTAAGAATGGTGGCAACCAAGTGGCATGGTGGATAGAGCACCACGCCTGGAATCAGAAAGACCTGAGTTCAAATCCAGCCTCAGATACTTAGTAACTATGTGACCCTGGGCAAGTCAAATAACCTCTATTTTCCTCAGTTTTCTTAATGGGCATAATAACAGCACCTACCTTGCAGGGTCACTGTGAGGATCAAATGAGATAAATGAAAAGCACTAACACAGTGCCTGGCACATAGTAAGCACTACAGAAATGCGTGTTGTTGTTTGTTTTTAATATAACTGCTCCCTCCCTACCTACACCCTTGCTGCAGACTCATCACCAGTAACACGCATCATCAAGTGTGGCCATCTTCTCTCCCAGGATACTCCCAGCAGCTCTCAACTCCCTGAATTAGATCGTAAGCTCTTGGAGAGCAGGGCTTTCATCATATCTCTCTTGGAAATCTCGAAGGCTGTCAAGGAACCTCACACATAGTAGGTTCTTAGTAAATGGTGACTCAATTGAATCTGAACTCATCGTAGCTCCCTAGAGAAGTTCAAAGTCCGAAGTTCTTTGGCTGGACTTTATGAAAACCAAGAGCAGGGAGAACCATCTGTTAAGAAATAACTCATTGGTTTAGTAGGAATGTATATGTAGAGTCTATATCAAACTGCAGGCCATCTTGGGGTGGGGGGAGGGGAGAGATGGGAAGAAAATTCAGCACTCAAAATCTTATGGAAGTGAATGTTAAAACTAAAAATAAATTAAAAAAATAAATAACTCAATGAAGAAGGCTAAAATCTAAAAAGAAAAACTACATTAGTGGATTTAATCTGAATCAGGAGTAGAAAGAAAGCCCTAACCATCTTAAAACCTAGTTAGAAAGAAGTGATAACTAAGTAGGCCCTAGGACAAGATACTTAAGGTACAGACTCAAAGCATTTTGCTGACAATAAATAACTCACTTGACCCTGGCAAGAGAGTAAAAAAGTACCTAGAAGTCCTGGTAAAGTTTTCCAAAAGAGGAAATGAGGATCTCAGTATTTGGCTGGTTCTATTCAAAATAGGAATGGCAAAAATGGAAACTTCTCTACATTACTGCCGAGTACTTTCCCTTTAACAGCTGAGTATCTGCCAACATGGGACAACTAGGGGATGTCATAGCGCACAGCGCTGGGCTTGGAGTCAGAAAGACCTAAGGTTATATCCAGCCTCAGACACTTCCTAGCTGTATAGTCCTGGACAAATCACTTAACACTGTTTGCCTCAGCTGATTCATTTGTAAAATGAGGATAATGATAGCACCAGCTTCCCAGGGTTGTTGTGAGATAATAACTGTAAAACACTTAAGCACGGCGATAGTAAGCACTACATAAATGTTAGCTATCATACATGTCATTTGGAAAGGAAATAACAAGGCATAATAGAGAGAGTGCTAGGCTGGGAATAGCCTACCTCTGACTTATTAGCTGTAGGACCATGGGCAAGTCATGATACCGCCAAGCTGCAGTCTGATCAGCTGTAAAATGGGGCTCATGATTTATGGACA